ACACTTTGAGCATCTCCAATGGGAACTTCAGATCACAACTCACCGACCTGCCTCACATGCAAATAAGAGTCCGAACTAAACAAAAAAATCTGCAGTTCTAGTTTTTGTTTGTTTAATCTGTATTTAATTCACTGATATATTCTGCATCATCTATTTCCTCATGCCTGTTAACTTCCCTCCACTTACAGTATATATTTGATTTAGTTTGCAAGCTGCGCATTGATACAGGTGACACAGGCGTATCACCCAATAGTCATTTTATTTCCAGCTTTATAACACCAGTAATTTACCACAGACGGTGTTGCTCTGTCTATCTCTGGGTTACATCCTTCACTGAGCTCATGTTAAACTTTCTCAGGGCCTGGGTTGATACTTCATGAGTGGTCGAAAAGCAAAACTTGTAGTATGAAGATCAACTTTATGAACAAATTAGATCGACGCGTTTCAGATTATGGCCTTCTTCAATCCCACTCTGAAACTTAATGAGCCGATTTTTTTAAATTTTTTGCAAATGACTGAATCACTAAAGTTTTTAAAACACTGAGTGTGTAAGACTTCAGAAAACCTTCCAATTACCTGCTTTTGACAAATTCTTTAATGACGGTATGAGAGAAAGTTGTTAAATGTACTGATATAGAAAAGAGAAATAGAAGAAGCTTCAGTGAGTCTGCAAAGCATCATATTCACCGTGGATGTTGTTCTGTTCGGCAGGTGTCGACCTGATCACAGCGTGTGACATCCGCCTGTGTACCCAGGACGCCTGGTTCCAGATCAAGGTATGTACAGGTCCAAAACAAAGAGAGGATAAATAAAGGGGCGGGGTAAAAGAAAAGTTAGACCATGTCAAAAAAAAAAAAACTGCAGCCATAATTTTTGTTTTCACATTTCTGTTTAGTAATAGAAAAATGTCTAATGCAAGCAATCTTTTATAGGAGAGCACAATACAGTTATTGTATCCATATCATCGCTGCTGTATTTAGGGATGCAGGTGATGTTCTGATGGAGTCTGAATACTGAGAGGATGTTACCACAGCCAATCATCTGTATTTCTGGTCGTCATTACAGGAAGTTGATATTGGACTTGCAGCAGACGTTGGAACTCTTCAGAGACTTCCTAAACTCATCGGCAGCCGCAGGTAAACACAACATTTAAATACCCAAAATGTGTCAGGGTTTGGGTTCACTGCTTTCTGTAAAGCAAAGGCTGTCAAAGTGTTCAATACTTTACAAAACCATGTGGTGTAAAACAATAAAATCCACATTATTTTAATGATCGATTGTTTCCAAAAGAACAGAAGCTTAAAGAAAAACAACTTCAGATCTTCAGTCCTGTTTTAACTAGAGATCAGCAGTGGTCCGTTCAAATGAATGGGTCTGCAAATACTCGGATACTGACATGTCTCAATTCCTTTCAGTGTCTCACACACAGACACACAAGTTTGTATCTTTTACGAGCAGACAGAGATCAGAGGGTCACATTGTCATAATTGAATCAACAACATGATGTGTTTGTGTAATCAAGACAGCATCACCCCCTCTGCTCTGTCTGTTTGTAAAAGACAAAAACGTCTTTGATACCAACATGTTGCCCATTGTTGGTGCAATTCAGACAGTATGACAGTAGTATTTAGAGTTGCTTGCAGTTTTAGTCATAAAGACAAGAAATTACTTGTTACCGAGGACTTCCTATTTTCTTTCCTTGTTACAGAAACAGGTGATTTTTTTCTAGTATTGTATCAAAGGTTATATAATTCTGGTATCTTGACAACCCTAGTTAAAGATAATTGTTATATGTAGTGAAACATGTCATGGTATGTGTTAAGCTGAAGCTTTTTTAAAGAGTATTTTTTTCAGCTGTTTGCCTTTACTTGATAGGACAGGGGATAGAGCAGGAAAATTTGGGAGAGAGTGGGGAGGAAGACATGCGGGGAAGGAGCCACAGGTCGGACTTGATCCCGGGCCACTCACTTGGAGTATTTTAGCCTCCATACATGGGGTGTGACCTAACCACTGGGCCATCTGTACCCCACCTAAAGTCTTTGAATAGAGACTTATATTCATTGATTTCTATGATTTGTGTTTTGGAAGTTCAGATTCCAGGAAATGTATTTTTAACTAAATATTATTTATTTATTTGGAAAGGGAACAATGTTAAACACAATATTATGGTGATATATCCTTCTAAATGTGAATGTTTGACCTGTAAGAGTCCTGAACTATCCAATGCTGCACTGAGGTAACAAGTCTAGATGAAGTCCTACCAGAACTTACAGGTTACTTTTATCTTACCTTCTCCAGCTTAGTGAACGAGCTCGCTCTGACTGCCAGGAGGATGTACGCTGATGAAGCCAAGAGCAGTGGACTGGTCAGGTATCTACAAAATCACACACTCATGTTTAATGTAACTAAAGCCTAATGCTGATGAAAGAGTTTTTTTTAAATATTAATTTAGTCAGTGTTGCTTCTAAAGATGTGAAATAAAATGAGTGAAAAGGAGATAATCTGCAGCCACTTTTATAACTAAACTGAAGGAACCAGCTACACTAAGTGCGATGCCACTTGCAAGCTCATCTTTGTGTCTTGTGTCTCTAAGAGGATCAAACTGAGCAAGTTTTTTTTTTTAAGTTCAAGGTTAAAGGCTTGCTTATGTAGTGATCACCAGTGTGACAACCTTATTGAACTGGTTATGCAGCAGTAGCAGCACTTCTCTTCAAAATGCTAAATTCCAAATCACTTATTTTAGAGTAGTTACTTACATTTTGTTACCTCTTCCAGCCGAGTGTTTGCAGATAAGGAGACGATGATGGCTGGAGCTCTGGAGATGGCCGGGGAGATCGCTGGTCGCAGCCCTGTAGCTGTGCAGGGAACCAAAATCAACCTCATCTACTCCAGAGACCACAGTGTAGCAGAGGGACTGGACTACATGGTAAGATCATCATCTTACGAAGATGTTTGTCCACATCATCCTGCTACAGTCATGCTGCAAAACTGCCCCTTTTCTGTTCTATTAGTCCAAATCCTAACTTGTTGATTTGTTTCTAGGCTTCGTGGAACATGAGCATGCTTCAGACTCAAGATGTGATGAAGTCAGCTCAGGCCTCCATGGAGAAGAAAAGCCCCCAAGACGATAAAGTTCTCCAAACTCTAAATGTCACAGAGGCAAAGTTCAGATCAACACAAAGCTGCCATTTTATTTTTTCCCTGTTGCCTTTTTTTTGGGGGGGAAGGAGAGAATATGTGAATCTTTTGCTTTGTATTTTTTGTAACACCAAAACTAAAAAAATCCAGTAATCAGTAGGTATTTGATTAAAATGTATCGAGACTTTGAGATAGAGGCTTGACGCTTGTGTCTGTGGCAGGTGACCGTTCTTCGGATTTCTTTCCAAATATTTATTATTTTTGGGTTGAAAGAATTTTGATAAGATATTAAAAACTAAAGATTAATTTAATCATCATTGTATGAAATAAATCATAACAAAGTTCAGGGTAATATCTTCCCAGAGGTAACCCTAACTGTGACCTCTTATGAACTGCGTCAAACGTCCCATACTCGGCTAACAGTCCATTCACAGTGGCTGCAGAAATCTTTGTGAAGGATGACTGTGCATTTTGAACTGAAGAGAAATCCGAGGTTAAATACAATTATCTGTCAGTGTGGAAGAATTTATGGATTTTCTGCAACTAATCATATTGTAAAAACTTTCAGTGTTTTCTATCTGTAAATGACTTCATGAATGTTTCATCTTGTTAAAATAACTCATCTGGAAGCTGTGACGTCTGTTACCAATGGTAGCTTGCTATAGATGTGTTTTCATTCAGTCAGCAACACTGAGGGGTATATACAAATAAATTAAAAACCTTTATTGATAAAATTCACAAAATAACTTAAATCTAAAAAAGTAGAAAAACACATTCAAAGTCGATCACTGCAGCGTCTGCTTGGCACGAAGTTTCTGTAAAGTTTTCTGTGAAGAGATGAGAAAAAAAAATCTTTAAAAACTCAACACATTAAGATATATTTAAAATAAAAAAGTTGATAATCATAACACTGTTGTACCTTGTGGAACTCTTTGGCCTTCAGTCTGTTTTTTGCATAAGCTTCCTGTTTGCTCCTGATCGCTTTCTGATGCTTCACCTCATCCAGCTGCTCGTACAGTCTGCAGAAACATGATACCCCATATCAATAATTTACTATCTGCCACATCTTTTTATTATTAAATAACTGTTTGTACATTTTAGCAGCCCGTGTGGACAAAGCTTGACCAATAATCACTTTGATGAAGTTGTCCGGTAAATACAAATGTATGACTCATTGTTAAACATCACACACCAATCCAGTGCGGATGTTACAGACATGAAAAATGAAGAAATAATGAATCTTGGCATTTGTAGGTGTTAAAGAGGCATCAGAAAATAATTTCAAATCTTTTTCATAACCGGCTAAAAACTCCTCTCATTAGTTTTGACGTTTAACAATTTAAAGATGTTTCTTCAAATTTTAAGGAAAGAACAAATACTTCACAGGGACATTATTAAGAAAAGGTTACTTTTCTGTTCTACAACCACACAGTGAAACCAATGAACAGGTTTTAGCCAAAGACATCGAAGCAGTACCTCTGAGTTCTCTGGTGCATCTCAGAAACATCTTGTTTTCTCTGCTCTGGTGTGAGGAGCTTCACCTCCACCTCTCTCAGCCTGGCATCCCTCACTGAAAGAACGGAGAAATGACAAATTAGCTGCAATTCACAGGATGTATCAAATGCAAGGTTTATACCCCTGGCAAAAAAGGTTGCTAATAAACAGTCAGGTAATCAGAAAAGCCTCTGAATTATGCACTTCTTAGATAGAAAGCGTTTATAAAATGCATTTCTGACTTTCCTTTGAGTGACAGGAGGTAATTATGAACAGAAAGTTTGTACCAAATACTGGAATAATCTATTTTTGTTCCAATGAAATATAGTTATTGTACAATGGCTATCACACCATGGGTTTCTTATTTGTCTGATTGTTAAAGTAGACGTTAACTGAAACACATCACTGGCAGAAAACTACCTAATTTTGTTACATACACCTTGCAGGTCAGGTCATACTACAGGTAAGTATTTCTCTGACCTTTAATTAATTTAAGCGTTCATTCAATTGGAATTTCATTTAAAAAAAAAAAAAAAAAAAAAATCATTCCCCTAACATTTAATGGACTCCATTTAACCAGCTCTCTTATTCTAAGATGTTATGATTTAGAAAGTCTTATTGTTGCCACTAATGCATCTCGACTGATCACTTCAGTTTAATTTCTTTGCAAACGCATGTTTCAAAGAACCCAATAAAGGCTCAACCGTGTGAACAAAGAGTTTGTTTTTCTGCTACTCATGACTCAAAGAACCAATAACATGTCATCTGAGCAATTTCTGTGCTCTTAAAATGTTAATCCTGACAGGCTTATACATACCTGGAAGGGGGCACTGGGCCTTTTTCTGATGTTTAAAGCCAGATGTCTCAGTGGTTCTGTGCAGCTCAGCCGGTCCTTCATTTAAATTAGTGTTAGCTTTATGTTGACTCTCTGAGTTGGTCTTCGCCTTACGGGAGACTGGATGACATTCCTTTGCTCTTGACGGCTCTCTGGCTTTAGATGGCACTTGGATCTTAGGCTGAATCTTTGCAAGAGCAGCTTTGGCTTTTATTTCCTCAACTCTGCGGGATGATCTCTGGATCAGAGCTCTGCGCTTCTGCTGACTAACGTCCTGCAGGCTTCCACCAACAACACCCCACTGAAACTCCAGGAGCTCCTCTGAATGAAGGAAAGAAAGAGCGGAAAAGCTTGTAATGAGTTAATTGTGTTATACCTTTTTGAGATGCTTATTAGGTATTGGTGGGCGTCTGTGCATGATACAATCCCCATTTAAACCAGAAGCAGGTTTCCATATATATTTCAGCAATCTCATGCATGCAGAACCCTTGATGACTTTTATTTCAGTCAAATCTAATCGGTCTGTAACAGTTGAGATTTTACCTGGATGCTTTTGGTTTTTGTCCTCTTGAGTCTCATGCAGTAACAACATTGATTCCGACACCTGAAGAAGACAAAGATTGTGTTCAGAATCACTGAAAATGGAAACAAAGAAAATCCGTCGGTGGATTTGATAACTACCTCTGTCTTCTGTTCTCTCTGTCCTTCCTCCTTCCACCCATCAGGATTTCTGTCTTCCCAAATGTCCTCTTCATCAGTGAGAGTAGTCTCTTGGTCCTGCAGTGTCGTGTCTGTCAGACTCACCAGGGTTATCTCAGACTGCTCCAGGATCCCCTTCTCACAGGCAGCTTCCTAATAGAAACAGAGAGATGGATCAGCCAAATATGTTACACTCATTTTATTACAATAAAAAGACAAAAACTTTTAGAAGCAAAAAAAGTGATTTCCCAAAATATTGACAAAAACCTGCAGTTGTGTCATGAGAGAACTATGTAGTGCTCTGTGTTTGCACTCACTGCCCTCTAAAGGCACCACAATTGTAAATTAAGGTCAGAATAAAGATGCGTGTTTACTAATGGGAACAGAAAAATCATACCATTATCATATTTGAGAAAGAAGCCACATTCCTCAGGTTTGAACTCTGCGCAGACTCTAATTCTTGGACTGAAGATTTGTTCTTTTTAGAAATGCAGTTTGTGTCAGCGTCGGCTTCCTCCGGCTGTGGCAAACCCACTGCAGTTGAATCATCACACATATTTAAATGTAACAGATTCAGAGCTGTTAACGCCACATCTGTCCTCTTGCTGGGAGACACTGTAAGGACAGAGTCATGGGAATAGAGCTGGGAAGTCATCAGCTGGGAGAAGGATTCATGTACTGCTGGGGAAGCCGTCGTGCAGCTGGATGGCTCCTCTGCTCTGAGACGCTCGGGTGACTCTTCAGACTCAACAGAGGGATCATCGTGGGTTTCAAACTCTTCAGAAGGAGTGGAAAAACTTGGATCTTCCCTTGTGGGCTGCCCTTCAGGTGAGTTTGGCGCATCATGATCAGGCTGGTGAAACATCATGGAGGGGTCTGATGTTTCATTGTGGGTGACCTCGGCCAGTAACGGGTGGAACGAGTCAGAGTCTGGAAACACTAAATGGGTGGAACACAGGGACATAAAACACTGTTAATTTTCTTACAAAGGAAGTAATTCAAGGAAGATAATAAATATAATGTACGCTCCTCGAGATCGTTGGTTGACGGCCTGCCAGAACAATGTAGGAGACAGTAGACAGCAGCAACGTTAGAGAATATGTGGGGAAATAAATACCAATCACTCACACACTTGTAAGAGAATTTAAACATTCAGGGACAAGGTCATTCAAATTCATGATGAAAATTTCAGTAACAAGATTCCCAGGGACCCCCGGATTGTGCATGTGTGCCAGACTCCTAGTGACATCATTCAAAAGAAGGACATCTACCTATTCAAAAGCCTGAAGCTTGCTAGTATAGAGGCCCCCCAACACACAGCACAATGGTTAGATACACACACCTGAACAAAATCTTAAGACCAGGGAAAAATCACAAGTATTCGCATTTTGCGGTGGTGGATCGTAACCTGGTTAGGCAAGTAGAGCTTTCAAAATGTAAAAAAGGAAGAAACAGAAGCAGGAGACAAACAACAAAATAGGCCATTTGTTGAAAACTGCATTTAAACTCAAACAGGCTGTTCATCAGTTGATCAAAAGTTTAAGACCTTAGTTATATTATAATACTTGTAATTTTCACCCAGTCTTAAGATTTTGTTCAGGTGCATAGTAGAGGAAAAATATTCCATGATTAAGGTATGATCACATGTACACATGATCAAGACTGTGAAAAATGGGCTGACCATAATAAAAAGAATAAGTCATAACCTCTGCTGGGTAGAGGAGACTACATCAAAGGATGTAGACAGAGGGTTCCCCCTGTTGTAATCATGTTATGTTTAGGTGTTTGTTTCGCTGAGGTTGTTTACACTGGAAACATATATAAAAAAAACATAAAATAAATATACAAGATCGCTTACAATCTTGCAAAAGCTGATAAGAGTAGATGTTCACACCATAATAATACTAGACCCCACACAATAAGATCTTGTCCTCAGTAAATACTTGAACACCTTCACATTATATCTCACCTTCAGACCTCTCTTGGCTCCGGGTGATTGAACTGGCTCGGTCCTGGGGGGTCTGCTCCTGTGAATGTGGGGTCACACTTGGGAGGGAGGCCCTGTGTGTGGAGGCTTCAGAAGGTAAAACTGGATACGACGGCATGCTGGCTTCAGTTGAAACACCAAGGTCCACGTGAGTTCTTTCACCTAAAAAGGATCAAATCTGTTTATGAAGTTAGCACATTTATCCTAACACTCAGAGGCCTTGATGTTTTCTAATATAAACAGGCAACACAGTGAGTGTAACTACGCTGGTTTATAGACAGTTATAACTCATCTGTAACCAATTTTAAGCCCCTTTCACACATGCACTGCACTCCAATGAAAACATGTCTGAATCGAATGGATGAAAGGAAATCTGTAAAATGTACCGCAAGCGAGTGGGTTGTGTGATATTTAGTTTATGCTCAGCAGAGTTTCTCTCCTTCATACTCTTGACTCCTCAGTTGTCATTATTTTTCTCCACTGTTGTGTCTCTTTATACATGTTGAAATAATAATAATAATAATAATAATAATAATACAGAAACTGTCACCATTACAGACGACTCTTCCTGCTGCATGCACTACCCCTCACCTGAAACCAAACTGAAAATCTGTCTGGGGTGGGATTAATAAAGCTCTATGTTATCTAATCCAGTCAAAAAGAGCATTTTGATTTCTGAGAGTGTGTCCAACATTGATCATCTCCTGCTGTGAGGTGCATGTTTGAAAGGCAAGTCCTGAAAATATCAGGACCTGAAAGTCCTAAAATTATCTAGAAGAGTTCATATATGGAAATGGCTTTTAAGGACAACTGACTTAAAATGTGGAAAATTTAAAACTTTGCTGTTTCAGTCACACCATACAATCCTTCCTTTACCTGAGCTTCCACTGTGCTGGCCAACAGACTCATCCAGCTCCCCAACCAGTGGTCTCATCAGAGTCTCCTCCCCTCCTTCATCCAGCCATGTGGTCGCCTGCTCTGAAGGCATCTCGCCAATCAGCTGGCCGGCATAAAAGTCCTGCCCACCACTCAGCCAGTGAGAGCTCGACTGATGGGAGAGGCGACCAATCATCCGCATCAGCGTTGAATCCCATCCACCCTGATCCATGCTCACTGACACCGACTGACCAATCATGGACGAGTGCGCTGACGGTTGACCAACCAGTTGCTCCATGGTCGAGTCTCTATGGTCAGCAGCGAGACAGGACGACTGGTCTACCAGGTGGCCAATCAGAGGTCTGAAGGAGTCCTGCTCCTCTGCTAGTGACGGGTCCTGTCTGGATGATCGCTCTTGGATTGGATTGATTATAGATCGTGATGTACTGACCAGGCCTCTCCTCTGTTCCGATGCCGTGTCTGACGGAGGAGACTGATGAGTTGAAGAGCCTTCATCCTCCCCGCTCCTCTCCGAGACACAAACCAAAGACTGCTGAGAAACTGAAGGACCAGGGTCATCTGTGAATGAACCTTCACCGTCTGCAGCACACACAAAAAAACAGAAACAGAGACAATGTTGTAAAATGAAGAAAAATACAGGACCAATTTATCAAGCACAAAATCTTGATGTGCCAAGGGGACACTTTTGTCTTTAACAGAGAAACAACTCGAATGTCTTTGGAGGGACACCCAAAGTTTTATTAGCATCCATGTTGAGATTTTAACAGAAGAAATAAAAATAAACATGTTTAAAGCCTGGTTGAAAAAACTAATTTGGTATCAATAGCTAATTTCTTTATCGGCTACAGGGTACCTTTTTATTTTATGAAGGCTAAAGGTTATTCATAATAAAGGGTTTGGCTGATTTGACTGACAAGCGGCCTGAAGGCTTGAGCTCTGCCTCAGCTCCAACTTTTTGCCGGTATCTAGGTGGACCTAAAGAGAGCTTGAGACAGCATTTCCATTATAGCCAGAGCAGGTGACGTCACAGAGATCATGCCAAAGGTTTTATGCAGTCTTTGGTGAAACATAACTGTTAAGTTAAAGAAACAGAGGTTTTTCTTGAGTGTATTATTGGTGTAATGTTTGTAGTATTGGTAGCATACCTGTGGTTTTCCCTGTGGTGCTGAGAGAGATGTTAAGTTCCTTTGTGTATCGGTCAATAATGCGCTGGATGCTGCTGTCATTGAACAGAGAGTCTACAGCTGGACCGGGATGAGCTGCTGCTGAGCTTTGGTCAGATGGAGAGGAGACGTGGAGTAAACGTGATTGCCCTGCATCCGCAAAATGCTTGCGTGGTAGGGATTTATCTATGAAGTAGTGAGAAGAAGAAAGGAGGGCAAGTTTAAGCAACAAAGTCAGAAACATAACATGGAGCATGTTGTAAGTTTTATATACAGAAAGAAACTTATGTTCATCTCTTTTAAAGTTGACAATATGAAATACCCTGCATAATAGAACCACATTTAGCAGGACTTAGGGGGTCAAATGCCATGCAGCATTTAAGCATACATCAGCGTGCCCGACACTTAACATTTTGAAGCACATAGTTTATGTAGTAAGAAATACACAAACTGTCCCTGTTGGTTAAATACATGTTGTTTCGGCTTCAGGTAGATTTTCTGACCTGTTCAGCTGCACAGGATACGTTTCTGAGTTTCTATCATTTAAAAAGGGCAATCATCTACTTTGTCAAAAATCAGGAACAAACAGCAGAATCAGTGTGGACTACAAGACACACTTACCAGTGGTTAAGTTTTGCTCAGGGTCGGAGGTGATGTAGCTCCCAGTTGAGATGGTGGTGGAGGAGAGGCAGTCAGAATCAGGGGGCCTGTGTGCTGACTGACACACCAAAATAAAATAAAATGTGTTAAAATCGAAAACACACAATCAGCTCACACACTCAATAAATAATGTCAGGTAGATACACACATTATTTTATAGGTGAGCTCAGTTCAAGTGTAGAAACCTTCAGGAGAGGTATTTTAAAAATACACTCCTCAGGTGGATTTATTTTAACATCATCACTCAGTATGCAAAAACAGAAACAAACAGACTTATAGACAAACAATGACTCACAAACACATAAATATAAAGATTTTTTGTGGTCTTTAGTCAGTACTGGATTATGTATTTTGAACTTTGACCTAGGTAAAAGAAGCTGATCTCTATGAAGAGTGACTCCTGCCAAGAGTTAAAAATGCTATCATAACTTCTTCATGTTCTAGTCTAAGTATTTTGCTGTATAAATCTTTTAGTAACCTTAATCTTGATTCATTAAATTAGCCCTTAATCCAAATGTTATTAGTTTAAGACACACAAGCATGCACACACACACACACATTCACTGAGCTCAGTTCAAGTGTAGAAACCTTCAGGAGAGGTATTTTAAAAATACACTCTTCAGGTGGATTTATTTTAACATCATCACTCAGTTTGCAAAAACAGAAACACAGACTTATAGACAAACACACAAAGATTCACACACACATAAATATCAAGATTTAAGGGTAATATTTTGTAGTCTTTAGTCAATACTGCATGATGTATTTTGTCCTAGGTAAAAGAAGCTGATCTTTATGAATAGTGACTCCTGCTAAGAGTTAAAAATGCTATCATAACTTCTTCATGTTCTAGTCTAAGTATTTTTGCTGTATTAATCTTTTAGCAATCTTAATTAATTAAATTAGCCCTTAATCCAAATGTTATTAGTTTAAGACACAAGCATGCACACACACACATTCACTGAGCTCAGTTCAAGTGTAGAAACCATCAAGAGAGGTATTTAAAAAATACACTCTTCAGGTGGATTTATATTAACATCATCACTCAGTTTGCAAAAACAGAAACAAATAGACTTATAGACAAACAATGACTCACAAACACATAAATATAAAGATTTTTTGTGGTCTTTAGTCAGTACTGGATTATGTATTTTGAACTTTGACCTAGGTAAAAGAAGCTGATCTTTATGAAGAGTGACTCCTGCTAAGAGTTAAAAATGCTATCATAACTTCTTCATGTTCTAGTCTAAGTATTATGCTGTATAAATCTTTAAGAAATCTCAATTCATTAAATTTGAAAAAATGTTGCCCTTTTATATCCAAATGTTATTAGTTTAAGACACGAGCATACACACACAGTGTGTAGAAACCTTCAAGAGAGGTATTTTGAAAAATACACTCTTCAGGAGCATTTATTTTAACATCACTCAGTTTGCAAAAACAGAAACAAAGGCACAATCAAAGGTTGAGGCAGAGTTCGACCCAAGCACTCAGATTTTGCTATTCTTCCTCACTGGTCCACAATATGTGAACCTCAGAGGGAATTTAAATGTAGAAAACAATGTGCCAATTGCAATGAAAGTACATCAATGCAAAGCTCCCCAGTTGAACAAAAAAAGCTGAAATGAAGCGGTTGCCAAGTTGCAACATGAAGGAGGAAGGGAAGGCAGACATTTTTACTGCATTTTGACAAAAGTGTTCCATTCCCTTGCAACTTTCTAATCAATCTCTTCTGGAAATTTTCCATGAAGTGATGACTTGTTCCAAGTGAAGGTACTGTAAAGAAAGAGTCTGAACTAAGTTTTTAACATGTTTAGCTGGCCTGGTTACCTCTGTGGGGGATCTGAAGCTTGTGATTACACGGCCAGAGTAGTCGGCTCCCCTCCCAGAGTCGGAGGAAACTGGTGAAAATATCCGACGTGCTGAATCTGTAAAACAACGATACATCAAACTACTTTGACATGTTTTCTTTCCACCAGTATGTTTTCATGACTACAATTCCCACATGCCCTTTTCTTACCAGACTCTGAGGACTCAGGAGATGTCCCTGACCCTAACAGTCTCTCTCTCCAGGCCAGATAGCTGGATGTCCTCGAGCTCACCCCAGAGCCAGTTTGGCTTTCGGTGGTCTGCTGCCCTCTGCTGGCCATAGACGGTGTCTGCAAACTGCTGTCAGATGTCAGAGATGATTCTGATCCCTCCCGTGGATCCCAGCCTGCTGTGCCCAAAGGAACCCTCAAGCTTTCCTCTGGGCCTGGACACAATAAACAGTAACAGTCTGATGTTGCTCCTCATAGTTTGATGGATTTAGATTCAGTAAAAACATGATTAACCAACCTGCTACAAGACTGGTGTTGACTGGTGTCTCCACCTCTTCAATAACACTGAGCTCATGTTGCGCAGTCATCTCCATGATGCCCAGCCGGACGCGGGTCACTGGGGGCTTCGCGGCTCGAGGAGGAGCGAGGAGGAGTCCTTGGGAAGGGACTGATGCCGAGGACGGTCCAGCAGGAATATCACTCAGAGAGACTAAAACGAAAAATATAAATAATGATCATATTACAGTATTTAGATTTACTTCAGGGGTGAGTCTTGTATTCTACTAGAGCTTTGAATGAGTTTAATGGGAAATGTGAAACAGAACCTAACAAAACACGGCAGTTATCTATCGTTAGTCGTCCATCCGCAAAACATTTCAATTCAAAAATTAAAGTTGAAAAACGAGATGGGAGACAGCGTGTCACATACCCATCTCTTCATTGTTAGAAGGGGGATGTTCTCTCTCCTGAGGATCTTCTTCTAGGTGTGATAAAGTTCCTCCATTCGTCTCCTCTATAGCTCTCAGCAGAGAAGCAAGTATTTTGAGACGAGTCTGGCTGATGTCGTCTGAAACCGACACTTCACTGGAAGCCTCTGAAGGTGGCTGTTGGTGAGAAAATACACAAGAAAACTGTTTTTTTCCAATTGCTTATCTTTGTTGCAAGTTCAAAAAGGGGCTTTTAAGGAGTGTCATCTCTTGCAGTCAAAATGGGGTTACACATTTTAAGTTTTTACTAAATTTTGGATTTAGATTAAACCTGTGTAGGAACAAACTTTGATGTGTAAAGTGTACTACAACAGAAATGTACTCACCTCTGCATCATTTTGAATCAGAGCCTGCAGTGTCTCCTTCTCTCGCCTCATCTGCTCCCTCGCCCCTTCTTGTCTGCGTCGTTCTTCTTCTTGCTGTCTCTCCTGCAGCGCTAACAACTCCCTCTGCTCCAGGAACCGTCTCTGGACCTCCTGCAGCTCCCGTCTCTGCGTCTCCATGTCGTCTTCTCTTGAGCTGAGGGATCCAGTCTGCGGGGGGAGGACTGTCTTAACCTCTTCACGACCTAAAAGGTGAGCAGTTACGTCCTCTGTGATTCTTTGGCTTGTGGTGGTATCAGAGGTTGGCTGGAGTGGGATGCTGGCTGATTGGTGTGTTTTTTGTGCTTTGTAAGGTAGTGGCTCTGAGGCGAAGGAGGAGGGTCCCTCTCGCTCTCTGAGGTGCCTTGTTACTTTCTCCATTATGTTGTCAGTCAGCCAGGCGGTGACTTCTGGTCTCTGGTTACTAGAATGTTCTGACACTGACTCCCCTTCATCTGACAACAACCTGGAGCCAACCCTCAAACTGGAGCCAGTAAGGTATGGAGGAGAGGACAACACGTCAGACTCTTTAGTGGGAACTTGCACAGAGGTTTGTGGTTTAGCACGGGTGTATGCAGAAACTGCAGGAGTCGTAGGCAGTAGGAGAGGAGCTGGAAGATGTACCGGTGGAGCACTTTGAGGAGGTAGGTGAACGACACCTGGAGGTACAACAGCTGACCATGAGGATGCAGCAGTCATGTTGTATCGTATTCTTAGAGCTCGCTGGTATTCCTCCAGGCGCTGGCGAGCGACTTCCACTGATCTCTGGTGAGTTCTAAAAGGTTGGACCAAGGAATGAAGAAGAGTTTTGTTGAAGAATACTCAAAAGAAAAAGCAGTGGTGGGAAAAAAAGAAAGTTTGTATTCAGACTTTAACAAACCTGTTTTGTTCAAGCAGTCGCTGCTGGTACTCTCGTATCCTGCTGCTGTGGTCATCTTCACCTGAAGGAGGAACAAGCTGTAGAGCAGAGAAGTGTAAGTCACAATTAAGCACCTTTAACATGTTTGACACACTTTAAAAAAGGACACTATAAAACAATGGCAGGGCTACAACTTTAAATATTTTATCTCAGCGTTAAAACTTAACCAAGGGCCTACCTCATTGGCTGGGCCAGGGGGACAGAGGTTAACTTCTGCCTTTGGATGAGTACTTCTGGTGGGTTTACAGGTACTTCTTCAGTCACAGCAGTCTTCAGGTGTTCTCTCTCCTGCCGGGCCTCAAGCAGCATCTGCTCCAATTTGGCTTTCTGCTCCTCCAGCTCCTGGAGCAACACCACCTGCTGCCGCTTCTCCCTCTCTAATTCTTCTTCCTACACAAAAATACAGTAATTTAAAAATAATCGGCAACTGCTTTTTTCCACAACATTGATTACAAACCCTGTCTAAAACTTAGCCTTATTATCACCTGAAAAGCCAGGGTGAGGTGAAGGGGGAAAAAAAAGGGAGGCATCAGTTGTCTTAAGGATAGTGCAAGTTATGGGTTTGCCTGAAAAGTGGGGGTAAACATAATAAAACATACCAAGTTCCTGTACTAGAACAAGCAATGAACGCTAAATCTCCACCTCTTGCTCCTGTGAAATAGATAGAATAGCGGATCATCCATCTCCACAGGTACTCGCAGGGAGCCAGGAGTCAGCAGGATATAGCTGGAACATCCACCAGCTACCATCATGATATTCAGGTCTTCATTTGAAATTCTTTACCAAAGCAAATTCTCAGTATGTCAAATCTGAAACAGCACATCTAGTGTCTGCAGGTTCAGAGGGAGCTGGGAGGTTTCTTGTTGAAATGTAAAACCACTTTGAACACTTTGCACTAATTAAGTAATGAGAAGCACCTGGATCCATAAATTCTGTCCAATCACAAAAACAAATGAACCTGTTGCTAAAGGAGTAGAACCAGGCTTTGGATACTTTTGTCAGATTGTAAAGTGAATAGATAAGAATCGGATTTGATAAATTAACACCCGCAAGAAAAAAAAAGAGACATTTAGGTTTTTTGATAATCAGAGCAGGGCTGTAATAATCCAGATTATAACTACTAGTATGAACTCAGAACTTTGCTTCTACTTCTCCCTTCCTGTAATTTTACTTTATGAAATGCAGAAAAGCGCCACATTAAAATGTAATGTCTTCCCCTTTGTAAAGAAAACATTTACTGTTGTTAAGTTTAATATCATACTGCATTCTGCTCGTTTCAACCAACAGCTCTGCAAATGTTCTATCTTTCTCTGTCACCCTGTACAGTATATTACATCAACTGGAATCAGAAAGTACCCGTTTCTTTCGTGCTTCTTCAAACTCTTGGATTCTGTTGAGCAGTCCATCAGGATGTAGAGTATCTGCTGCAGCGGGCTCTGCTGTCGCCATTGCTGGTGGAATTAAATACAAGAAAACGAAAAATGTATTTATCTCACAACAATTAAGTGTTTAAACTTTTAACTATATTAAGTGTGTAGCTCTAAAACCAAATCGTTACAGATCTGAAAAGATGCAGAAGAGTGAGAAAAACAAAACTCCCCTTTACTCGTAGTACTTTAACTGCATAGTTATAACTCAAGAAAGGAATTTATAACACCTTTATTTTACAACCTCCCAAAGTCAAGATACTGACGCAAAATAAATTTAAAAAATCCATTGTGCACTTCTTGCAGATTCACTGTTGAACAGTTGATGACCTTGACGACGTACCTGATGGCGAGCTGTCAGGCTCCGGGAGCTCTGCGGGGGGCAGGTGTTCCTTCTCCTCACTGGTCAGAGAGCCGGTGTCTATGGTGGTGTCTCGCTCTGGGATGTGATCAGTGTTGGCCGGGGTGAATCGGCTGCAGAGATGCAACTGTTCTGGTCGGCCCAGTGGTTCCTCTGTCCCCTGATGCGATCCAGGAGTTTTTTAACGCCCGTCTGGGGCACGTTTGGAGGGCACCTCTGCATGTAGAGAAAGTCTTTAAATGCAATGCTAGTTTGGTATAAATCTATTTCCAAATAATAAAATTATTGCACAAGAAAATCTGATTGTAGCTATTGAAGCTTGACTAAAGTTCTTACAGTAAGCATCTTTTTGGTGATTTTGTTGAAATAAAACAAATCATGTAACAACAGTAAGAACTCATTAGTTTAGGTTTTGTGAATATTTGTTGTTTGTTCTTCACCTTGTGCAGATGTTCCACACTCGCTGCTCGCAGCTTCTTGCTGTGTGCTTTCTACTTCTGGTGAAGAGATTTCATCCAGTGTGACGTCCAGCGCTTGGTCCTGGCTGTCTGTGGACAGAGCAGGCAGAGGCTCGGGTACCAGCTGGACCACCAGGTCACCTTTTACTCCTGTAATCAGACAGACGAGGTTTAAAAAGGCTCCACTTAAACTGTGTAGGTGTTCAATATGGCAACAACCATTGTTTAGCTTCAGAAATGGGTGACACAATCTGTGCTCCCAGGCTTTGAGCTATCTGAATGTCAGCTGCTTTGTCATGCAAAATATACAAATAAAGATCAATATAATGATTGAAGACACTTAAATGATAGACAGACTGTCAATGCAACATGTTTTACCTTTTTGTTATAAAACACATTAATAGAAAATACTCCACCACTGAATGCTTACTTCTCTCTCCAGTATACATGTCCTCGAAGGCAAACTCCATCTCCCTCTGGAAGTCCTCTCTCGTCTCCTGCCTTTTATAGAGAGGCTGGAAGATCTGAGGAGGCATATGTGCCACCTGCTGTCTCCTCCTCAGCAGATCTGTCTGCTGCATGTGCTCCAGTTCAACAAGCAAGCGCTCACGATCCTAAAAGGAGGTCATCAAACAGATCAGGAACAAGAAACAAAATGTAAGATCTTAGCAAATTGATACAAGAAGATTTAACATGGTGCGGGGAAATCTTTCAATCCTTGTATTTACTCTTGTTCCGGGGGTCATGTATTGTATAACCAAAAGGAAAAACATACATCCATTCACCATCAGTAAATGGAATCACTTAATGGGCTGCTGTTGTCCTGCTCAAAGTCGACATTACAAGTAGCATCAGAGCAAATTATCCCATCAGATACATGCAAACAGTTTTAGTATCATCAAGTAAGATGTAAGTTGCACCTGCACAAGATGTTCCTTCCTCAGAGCCTGCTTCCCCCTGAGACGAGCCTTCTCAAGCTGCTCCTCCCTCCTCCTCTGCTCCTCCCTCTGTAAATCCTGCAGTCTCCTCACCTCCAGCTCAGCTCCCTCATGGGCATCAGGCTGTTGATGCACATAAAGATTAGAACACTCTAAAAGGTAGGGGTGATAAAAAAAAAAACTTTGGGATATGCCCAAACACTTACCTGCATTGTCTCCTCCTCTCTGTCCACTGTGCTTTCAGGCATGTGGTAATGTGTGGCAGCAAAGGCGCTCACATCAGATTTCTTTACAACATGAGGCTTCTTGGCATCGATGTTCTGCTCGAGCAAGAAATGACAGAGTTAGCTGGACTCAACCCAGAACCTAAACTTGGAGCACGGACCAGATTGTTTCAAGAAGTGAGAGCCACGTAGTGCTCTGGTTCACGTGCAACGTTCCACTAACAGTAGGCTCACATTAATCAAAATAGCCGTCAACAGTCTTTGTCCTGCTGCTTTGAAACAACTGCCTCAGAGAGAATCTTTTTAGATCAAACATTACATGTCATTTTAGCGATCTGCAAATTTGTATTTTTCATTTAGCAAGTAGAAGGTTTCAGTGTGACTCCAAAAAGATAACATTTAGACTTGTATCTTTTTGTATATGTCTTGTTTTTAAGGGAAAAAGAAATCGCAGTAATGAAGAGACAGAGTAAAGTTATTCAAGTTTGAATTTAGTTTTGCCTATAAAACACTTCCCATCTCTAATGCACATAATACTGTGCAACCCTTTTTTTTTTTTTTTTTAACTGTCAAACTTATTCTTACTGTACCATGAACTTAAATGCAAGTAGAAAAATCAAGATGGCTTGTAATGCAAACTTATAACAGAATATAGTGTTATTATATTCCTCATGGGACAAATTACCTGAATGGGGTTCGGTGGAGGCGGTGGGAGACTGGCCACTTTAGCTGCTCTTTCTTTTTCTGCCTGCAGTGCCTTCTTTCTGGTATTGATGCACCTTCAGAAAAAAAGGAATAGACTTAATTTTCAATTAACTGTTGTCAAATTCATGCATGCAAACATCAACCATGCAAATGTTTGTTATGCTGCTTACCTGTTTTGCCTCTCATGATCTTTAAGCCTCTGTGATTTGAGCTCTTTTAAGGCTTCTCGATGACGCTCCGCTGCTTTGGCATGATTTTCTTCCTCCTTTCGAGCTAAGGCTGCCAAGTCCAGTTCCTTGTGCAAAAAAAATAATAATATTTAAGATTTGCGTAAGTCCTCAAGACAGCTCTGTTGACAAGTAAGCTATCATCTTCATCTAACAACAAGAAATCCAGCAAATTAAGACGGGATATAGCTTTATGTTTTTAGACTAATGATTACGCTTACATTTTCTTTAGCACTCCTGTGTCCCTGCCCGAGAAGTTGGAGGCTCTCTTGGTATAACTTCTGCAGTGTGTCGAGTTTCTCCCTCTGTTGTCGCTCCCAGTCCACCCTCAACTCCTCTCCCAGCTTCTCCAGCTCTCGCTGCCGCCTCTGCTCAACCTCCCGGCGGATGTGCAGCGCAATGTTCCGCTGCTGCTCCCTCACCTGGAGAGCAAAACGGAATTATATCTCATAATATGTGGTGAACACAGACATTGATTGAGCAACTTGATTAAAAATATGGAAATCTGCAAAGAGCATTTCAGTTTGTAATAGGGTGAAAGAAAATCAATTTATGCTACTACATCGTCTGCATATAACTCCCCAACTTAGACATAACATGGACCATAATAAATCTCTACTGTGTATTAAATAATAGGAGATGTTGAAGTTAAGAGTTTTATTCATATTGTTTGAACCTGCAAATGTACAGATGATTACTGAACAAGGAATCTTTTGTTTGACAAGAAGCCGGATGAACTGATATTTCATGATGCAGAAAGCAGAGACAAATGAATAGAATAGAATAGAATAGAATAGAATAGAATAGAATAGCATAGAATTACTTTATTGATCCCAAACTGGGAAATTGTGGCGTTACAGCAGCAGGTTATCCAAACACACAATATGAGTAAAAAACACAATATTAGCAAATCTAAACACAATATAATATTAAATACAAAGTAAATAAGCACTAAAAATATCAAAACTAAGAATGGGAATATATACAACCAGGATTTAACTTAGCATTACTAGTCTTAAATATGAAAGATTAAATGTAAATGTGAAAAATGGACAGTATTGACATAAGTTAAAGTGCAGGAGTGTAACCATATTATCAGCAGAAACTATTCAATATAACGGAGAGTAGACAGACAAATGAAGTGAACATGAGTGCAGGGATAATTTGTAAACACTTATATTTATAGCATTTATTTATATTTATAGCATCCCATTAATCCAGCCATCCATATATACCTAATAATTCACTTTTTTTAGTCTACATCTGTAAATTTTGTAATTACTGTACATAGCACAGACTCTTGCACTTTCTGCTTATTTGCACTTCTGGTGAGATGCCAAACCTCATTTCGTTACTCTATACTTGTATATGTGTAATGACAATAAAGTTTAATCTCATCTCATCTCAAATGTAAACATGTGCAGAACAGATTGCAGTAAGGAGAGACAGATATTATCATGATGAAGTTATGTAGTTACACCTGAGCATTACCTGTTGGATTCGCAGTTTTCTCCTCCTCTCATGTTCCTCCCGTATTATCCGAGCCTCTTCGTTCGGACTCGGCCTCAATTTTCCCACTTTTCTCTTCATTTCCATCAAACATGCGAGAGGACATTTCACAAGAGAACAGCAGGAAGCGCAGCAGCTCTGATAGTTATTGTTTTCTACCTACACTGTGTTAAAGGCTTTCCCTCCCATCAAACACCGTTTTAGGAGACATATTAATCGTAAAGTTAATGCTGCTTGAATAATAAAAGCCTAAAGAATGGAGGGGAAACGACACATAGTGCAATATCAGCCCTAGAAGTTTACTGTTTACCTCTTCAAATCCATGCCAACCTGCGAAAAAAACGACCGAACGCTTTTGTTTCGACGTCACATCCGGTAGTTTGAACTGCCCGTAGTTACAAAGATGAACTTCTTGGTTCCTACCATAGTCTGATCAGTTCCTACTTACGCTCAGCCTTACCAACTACTCAAAAAAACGAAAGAAAAACAAAGTCAATTTATTCACAAATCAAATCAATATTAAATTAGTTGTATTATTAATATAAACTTTACCCGCCGCCGAGTTCACCCGCTTGCCGCTAGGGGCAGCAGAGCGCAGTTCAGCCTGAATAAAAGCGTAGAATGAACCATACACGGCGCTAGCAGAAAGTGGAGCACATCTACAGTGAAAACTCGCGCACACAGGTGTAATTTGTGATACCACAGGTAAGATTTACACACATTTAAGATGCTTTTGTCATTTGGGTTATTATCCGAGTCTACGCTGTTAATTTGTCATTTTAGTTCAGCGCAGAGGTTGATGTAAGCTATTCCTCAGGCTAGCATCACAAGCTACTTGCAACAATACACAATGAAATCCACTTTGTTCTGCTGCTGTTTGAGCTTTTTACACTCTCTCATTGTACATTCAGTGTACCTGTATAAAGAAACATGT